GCCACATCCCTTCCTCCCCTTCGGCTTCGGCAGTGACACCACATCGCCACCTCCAGCGAGGTCTTCATGAGCCCACATCCCCAGCTCAAGCTCAGGCGCTGCCTAATCTAAGGGAGGGGTCAAAACTCAAAACGGAAGCACCCCAACCCAACCGGGGAACCCTCTTCCTCCCACTCGACAGCAAGCTGCAATAAGCCACAGCATCCCCACTTTTCATGAGGTCCTGTGGCAACTCCCCGATAACATTCCAGACTCGAGCTCAATGTTCGGCGCTGTCTCCTCCCCACAAAATCGGTTGAATCGAAGATAACTTTCAGTTGCAATATGTTTAGCAAAACCGAGTAAGTATAGCAGGCAATCATGTGGTTCTCTAAGTAGTCAAACTGTCTCATCAGCAACATATAATTTGATATCCAAAGAAGCACAAAAGTTCTAGAGAACAAATGTTCACCAAATACAACAGAGTGGAAGCACAGATCGACATGAACAGTAAAGTCTAACGAACAGCTAATGTGCTCAGCAGAAACCACGAGGTAGCACTCAGCCAACAGTCGACTGCTAGAACCTTTACATGCTGTCAAACAAAAAGACAGAGTTAGAGGCTGAACCGAAACACTGAGGACTTATTTCAGCTAGGTATTCCCTCTGTAAACTAATATAAGACCCTAGCTCATATGAGCTTGGTGAACAGTAAAATCCGAAAAAATTGAAAACAAATTCAAAAATTTCTGATTTTTTTATGGTAGCATTTGACAAATGTTTTACATGCTTGCAAAATTTCATCACAAAATAACATTCATGGACGACTTAGCGGAAAAAAAACGATGCTCTAAAAAAGTCATTTCTGGAGAGCTGATTCTGTTTTTTTTGCCACAACTTCCACGAATGTCATTTCATGATGAAACTTTGCAAGCATTGGAAACATCTGTAAAATGTTACCACAAAAAATCAGAATATTTTGATTTTTTTTTGGATTTTACTGTTCACTCGAGCTCATATGAGCTCGAGCTGAGAATGGCACTTTCGCTTTTAGATCACTATTTTAGTTATCTAAAAGGTCTTATATTAGTTTACAGAGGTAGTCCATCGTAAACAAGATTTTTAGTGGTTGTCAGTCTGAATGCAAAATCCTACTCCAAAAGTTTACTTCCACGAAATTCCAGTATATTGGAGGCGGATCCTTTAGAACAATGTCACACTGGAGTTAAGGTAAGGTGGACTCTTTAACAATGGTCAACGGGGAGGGGAAAACGAACAACCAAGGGAGCTAAGTCAGAGATATGACCTTATGAAACACATCCACTTTTAGCTGAAGGTTAGGATTCTTTAGAGGTAGTATCAAAGGCTGGTGCCACTGGGTTCTTCAACCTCGATTTCAACCTAATAAGTATATAATGTCCTCCAGACCCACCTCGGATTTTCCAGAGCCTTGGAGGATGAAACGACCATGTGGGCCATTGACACAATGTTATGCGGGCTAAGCAATCCACATGGAAGGACCAGTAGTTCCTAGCTGGCCCTTAAGCAAATAGCACCCCATACTTCTTTCTTAGTGATAGGATCCGTTCTCCTTACTTAGGAAACTTATCTTTAAGTTACAGAGTTCCCCTTTAGCTGGTCTTAAGCCAGGTAGAGATAGGACATCTGGTTTGTTATTTACATAGGATATTCCTGAGCTCAGCTACAACCTATAAAACAAAATGTACTCTCTCCATAAACAAATATAAGACGTTCTAACTCTTTTCTGATTCAGATGTATATAAACGAATTTTAGTGTATTTGTTCACTCATTTCAGTCCGTATGTGGTCCATATTGAAATATCTAAAACGTCTTATATTTGTTTACTGAGGAAGTACATCTTAAAGAACAAAATAGTAAGACATGAATATGTGTCCTTGCAAACTTTTGTGCAAGAGATGCATTTTGTTTCCTATGCAAATAAAGAAGGGACAAGGATGACAGGTTAAAACGAAACTATATTTGCATGATGTCTTCATTTTGTACAGGTTGCAAGATAGAACATCGTAACAAACGGGCATGCGAATTACTCCCGAGAGCGCGAAAATTTACCCTAAAGCGACTAGCCGATCATACAAAACAAACTGAAACATTTAATTCTATGCTCACCTGGATCCAACAGGACATCGATGCATAGATCCAATCAAGTATCTGCATAAATAACACCAGTATGTATTAGCTCAACTGATAACCCAGAACCTTGACAAGATACATGCCAATGCATCTTATAATTACAGCCACCAGAAAAATCACAAATAAGGAAAAAAGCTCAAAGTTAGTGAAATTCAAGTGCATTTTCAGTTTCGCTGCCATAATTCACAAGGAAACAGATGCCTAACATTGATCACGACTTGTTGTTATAGAAAAATGGTAGCAGTTATTAAAAAAGGCATAATAATCTTAAATGTTAGCTAGTCCCCTTAATAATCACAAGTTCATGCATAAACTCCTTGATTTTGAACAGCATTAAAATATGCTCAACTAGTGCCAAGGTATTTAGGGAAATGCACTTATGTGAAGCCCTGCGACATTCTTTACATCGGAGGCACAACAAATAGGCCAGTTTTGTCAAAGTATACGTTAATGGTAATGGTAATTAAACAATCACAACTTGCAATCTGGGATGAACTATAGTTTCTCTATTAACAAAAGCACACTGGTTGAAGCACATAATGAATACCAACGAGAATGGATCAAACAGTAACATAACCCAGTAACTTCTAAGTATACTTTTCCCAAACAATGCCCTTGGTTAGCAACCGATTTCAAAAGTAAAACAGTGTGTCTAGGATGAAACAGTGCCTTCATATTCCGAAGTCAGATACTCTAGGATCAAAAGGCATCAAGTGGAGCTACGGAATAAAGTGGGATCAATCAATCCAGACCAACCTTTTAACTATACTTTCCCCAGACAAATGACAATACCCTCGATTACCAATAGTTTTCAAAACTGAAATTGTGTGTCTAGGGTGGCCTGCCTACATTCCCTAAGAACTGACTATTATCAAAGAAGGCTTGTTGCTAATTTTTCTATAGTACGATTCAAATTTATACAATTACAATCTACTCCCGCTGTAAAGAAATATAAGGGTGTTTAGTGATCTAAACGCCCTTATATTTCTTTACAGAGGGAGTACTAATCAATGCCCCAGGAACTTCTTAGTACAATTACAATCTACTAATCAATGCCCCAGCATCTTCCTTTTCTCTTCCCCTCCCATCCTCTTCCCGGAAAATTTTGGAGTGAGATCGAAGCGAAATCCTAATGGAATAGTGGAATAGTAACCATGCATAGAACAAATTAAGCACCAGAAAGGAGGACTTAGTTTGGAGTTGGGACATAGGCTCCATATGAATGATAAGCCACAGCTGAGCTGAGATAGGTTCTGGGCTTATATGTGGCATAGATAGTCATGTAGAAGCTGCTTGTTAGCCTGTAATTGGCACGTGACACTCGTACTGGTGTCAATACAGGAGGCCAAGGAAAATATATGCTTTATCAGCGACGGCCACAAGGCAAAGCCTGAATCTCCATCATTGACAAGGTGAGAGGAGGCCAGAAGAGAGAGCCAAGCATTAATCCATTGCTAAGCACAAGAATAAAGGAGGCGAGGATGAGTAGTACTCCTAACCAACCAGGCAAAGGCAGGAATGGCACTTGGCAGGTGCTGCCAGTGTCCAACAGCTGTAGCCAGGTTGGGAGAAATGTAATGTTAGAGCTGGGTTGTCAGTGGTGCTCACAGCCTTGGTCCTAGACTTGTGATATAACTATTTTGTTTCTATTAACGCATCAAGATGCAAAGCATTTGTGTTTGAGAGAGAAAGAATCCCAACCAGCAAGCTTTATTTTTATCTAAGCCCAACAAGCCGGGTATGCAGGCCTTAATAAATATAACACTAAACTAATTCAAATGTAAATCAAAGCAAATATGTACTACAAAATGATCAATCAGGTAAGCAACAAACATACATACTAATCAACAGATAATAGCCTTTCTGTCCATGCTGAAAATGACGGCAAATACAATTTCTGATTGTAGTGTGTATACATATGCCCAATGTGTCGTACCAATAACACAAGCTTATTAGCCCATGTATGACCACTAATAACACAAGCTTATTAGTCCATCAACGTGGTAAGTTCAAATCGAACAGTAGACTTGGATGAAGTTACAAACTATGCAAGAATAGCAATTGATAGGCATTAAAACTAGGAGTTTTGTCAGTTTTGTCACTAGTTGTGTCACACTACTCAATTTTGCCACTAAAAGTTTCAACTACTCAAAAATGACATCCTTCCATTAAGCGTGTGCTAAAAAATGCCACTCGACACCATTACCATTCGGTCAAAGGCCATTGACCAGGGTGAAGTGACCAAAATACCCATGGACACTACTTGCCACCGCTCCCCTAAAACTTCTAGGTCCTAATTGTCAGCACAAAGAGAATTAAATTAGAAGAAAAAATAACGACACGTGGGGATTCGGTCACCCGCGCGGCCGCGCATGAAGCTATTTTGCTTCTAATTTCATTCTCTGTGTACTGGAAACTAGGACCTACAGGTTACAGTGACTTGTAGAGGGAACACTGACAAGTGGGGTCCAGGGGTATTTTGGTCACTTCACCCCGGTCGATGTCTTTGACCAAATGGTAATGGTGCCGAGTGGCATTTGTGAGCACACGCTTAACAAAAGGATGACATTTTGTTATTAGTTGAACCTTCTAGTGGCAAATTGAGTAGAGTGACACAACTAGTGGCAAAACTGATAAAAACCCTCATATGTTACCGTGTGGATCAGACATAGGTATTCGGTTAAAAACTTACACTAGGGAAGTGCAATCCGCATAAACCTTACAAATCCTATAGTCAAGCTCAGTATAAGTGTATAACTAGCATTTAGCTAGACATATGGTAGCCTAAGTTCGCAACTATACCTATTGAAGTTGTCGAACATATCGAATTTGACTTGAATTTCGGTGGTTAGTCAAAGACGGAGGTAAAAGTATAGAAACAATTACCCTTGTGCTCCTCAGCGGCGTCATGGTACTCAGCATCCTCCTCTGGCACAGGGTGCAGCACGTCGTCTGCACCAACCGCCGCCTCCATCGTAGTGGCAGACTCCCCGCCCTCTGCTACAGCATCATCAGGGGAACGCACCACCACCACGGGGCAAATACAGTGGTGGACGCAGTAATCACTCACACTCCCGAGCCTTCCCTTGCTGGCCCGCCGCGCCGCACCAAACCCCTTGCTCCCCATGATCACGGCGCTAAGCCCTAGCCTCTCCACCTCGAGGCAGAGTCTCTCCTTCATGTCGTGATCCTTGACGATGTGGATCTTGTAGGGGATCTTGGCCTCCTCGAGTGGCTTGGCCAGGTCGTCGGCCTTGGAAGCGGTGAGGGCGTCGAAGTCCTCCTCCATCTTGCGCGCGGCGACCTCAGCGTCGTCCTCGGGGGATGTGGGGGTGACGGAGCCCCAATCGGCGCCGTAGAGGACATTGGTGGAGCGGACGTGCAGGAGGATGACGGCGTCCCCGGGCCGGAGGTAGTTGGCGACGGCCCAGCTTACGGCGTAGGCGGACTCGTCTGACAGATCGACGGCGATGGCGATGCGGCGGTGGGCGGAGCCCAGTGGGGCGGCTGCGGCGGCGTTGGTGAAGAAGACGCCCGGGGAGTCGGGCTGGAGCGAGGCCGGCGGAGGGGGGCGCGGGGTCGGCGCCTTCACCCGCGGCGGCGGCGCCACCAGCGGCGGGAGGTCGACGGGGGGGTTCGTCGGGGCCTGCATCGCGGTGATGGTCGGGATCTCCGCTGCACGGTGCTCGTGAGGCTAGGGTTCTCGCCTTTGCTTGGAAGTATAGTGGGGAAGGGGGAGAAGCTGCTGGAAGAAACGGAAGACTTGGAGGATGCGAGGAACACAAAGCGTCAAGTGGAAGTCGAAGGGGATAAACATGTCAGAGACGGCGAGCGACGACACGTCCACAACTTGACGGTTTGGACTGATATAGATGATGTATTTTACATTTTCAAAAGAAAAAATTATGTATTTTACATCATTATTTTTTTTTGCGGCGAGACATCATTAAATTGTGATTGAAGTAAAATATACTCTCTCTGAAAAATAATAATATAAGGCCTTTTAAATCACCTATTGTTATTTTTTACAAAAAGCGTTTTTTTACATCATCAGAAATATCCAACTCCAACATGATGTAAAATGGGATAGTTGCACGGCTGCCGCTCCAACAAATGTGTAAAATAGGCATGCCGCACGGCAATAGATCCACATTTTTGTTTCCTCCAAATGCATATGAATTTGACAAAAGTACAGAATATGACAAACTTTGCAACATCATCACACACATAATCCGAAATGGAAGCAACCTTCTTTCTCGCCGGCTCTTCCATTCCAGTGGCGGCCGCGGGACATGGGGCTGCAAATCCGTTGCGCCGATTTGGGGGAGGCATGGCGGCGGCGGTGGAGAGAACAACATGAGACGTGGAGGTGGCATGGTAAGATAGGGTGGAGTGGCGGTGGCGGCCGCGGGGTCGGGAAGACATCCATCGGGTCTTGTCGTGGCTGGCGGGTAGTGGGAGGTGGGAAGGCAGGTAGGCGGTTGATGACCCACAAATATAGGGGATCAATCGTAGTCTTTTTGATAAGTAAGAGTGTCGAACCCAACGAGGAGCAGAAGAAAATGATAAGCAGTTTTCAATAAGTTATTGTCTGCAAGCACTAAAATTATCGATAACAGATAGTTTGATAGCAAGATAATTTGTTATGAGCAACAAGTAGTAATGATAACAAAGGTGCAGTAAGGTAGTCCAATCCTTTTGTAGCAAAGGTCGGGTTGAAATGGTCTCTTATAATAAGTAAAGCATTCTCAAGGACATGTGGGAATTTTATCTAGTCACTTTCATCATGTTTATTTGATTCACGTTCGTTAATTTGATAATTTGATATACGGGTGGCCCGGTGTTTGGCTGTTGTTCTTACTTGAACAAGCCTTCCATTTATGATTAATATCTCTCGCAAGCATCCGTAACAACGAAAGAAGAATTAAGATAAATCTAACCATAGCATGAAACATACGGATCCAAATTAGCCTCTTATGGAATAGAACATATTTCTCCCTTAGTGGTTTTGGTGATTGATGACAATGCTTTTGCGGACTAATCGTGTGCATTGAGCATTTTAGATAATCTATCATATGGCAATTACAAAGACAATGATTTTCCTTCGTTTCATTTTCGGTGGATTTGAGTTGTAGGAACATCATACTATTAAGATGGGGTCTGCTTCGGAAAGGTTGGGTGGAATTAACACGTACGCAATCCCACTGCACCCTCCTTCCTTCCTTGCATTTGAGCTTGGCCTTCCCTTGTGCTTGGGCTTTTTAGAGCATTCTAAGCGGTAGTACCCGCTCTGCTCAGTGGTAGTACCGCTCTGCCGCAGTTCAGTGCGGCCCTCATTTTCGCTTGTTGTTTAGTTTCTGTAAATGGGCGGTAGTAGAGCAGCAGTTCAACGCGGTAGTACCGCTCCATCGGTACTGCAGCTCTGACTTCGACTCTACTACCGCAGAGCGGCAGTTCAACGCGGTAGTACCGCTCCAGCGGTACTGCGGCTCTGACTTCGACTCTACTACCGCAGGTTTACTAGGCATACTACAGCTAAGTGGAAGTACCACTCCAGCGGTGCGGTAGTACCGCTCCGACGGAACTACCGCTGTCCAGTACCGCATGGAGTACCGCTTATTATTTGCCTTCTGGATAGCTCGGTCCCTCGAGCGGAAGTAGAGTGGTAGTTGTTAGCGATAGTGCCGCCTCGGGGTGCTGCCGCCCTGCCTTTCTCTTCTACCGCTGGTTCCGGTTGCTATTTAACACCAAGCGGAAGTACCACTGAGGGGAGCGGTAGTATCGCTCCGACGGCACTACCGCCTCCCTGATCTGCTCTGTTGAACATAGCGACTAGAACTTCCGTGCCAGCGGAAGTACCGCTCGCCTGAGCGGTACTACCGCTTGTGCACGGGTTGTGGGTGCATAACGGTTGGATTTATTTTCCCACTATATAAGGGAGTCATCTTCTCCAAGTTGACTTGCCTCTTCCTCCCCCAAGCTCGATTGTTGCTCACAAGCTCATTCTTGCTCGATCTCTCTCTCCTAGCCAATCAAACTTGTTGATTCTTCAATGATTGCTTGAGAAGGCCTAGATCTACACTTCCACCAAGAGAAATTTGATTCCCCTCACTATTCCTTTGCGGATCTTGTTACTCTGGGGTGTTTGAGCACCCTAGACAGTTGAGGTCCCCTCGGAGCCACATTCCATTACAGTGAAGCTTCGTGGTGGTGTTGGGAGCCTCTAATTCGGTTGTGGAGAGAGCCCCAACCTCGTTTGTAAAGGTCTGGTTGCTGCCTTCAAGAGCACCACTAGTGGAATCACGACATCTCGCATTGTGTGAGGGCGTGAGGAGAATACGGTGGCCCTAGTAGCTTCTCGGGGAGCATTGTGTCTCCACACCGCTCCAACAAAGACGTACTTCCTCTCAAACGGAAGGAACTTCAATAACACATCCTCATCTCCCCCGACTCCACTCGTGGTTATCTCTTACCTTTACTTTGTGCAAGCTTTACTTGTGTTGTATATCTTGATTGCTTGCGTGGTTATTGTTGTTAGCATCATATAGGTTGCTCACCTAGTTGCATATCTAGACAACCTATTTGTTGCTTAACCTAATTTGCTAAGAAAAGCTAAAAATTGGTAGTTGCCTATTCACCCCCCCTCTAGTCAACCATATTGATCCTTTCAATTGGTATCAGAGCCTTGTCTCTTTATTAAGGGTTTCACCACCCGAAGAGTATGGTTAGCAACGGGGATGGGATGAGGAAGTACCCAAGGCCGTGGAGTTGAACTCGGTCACCCGAGACGACTTAATTAAGCTATGGCTTCACTTAAGACGTCTATGACGGTCAAGGTCAAGTCCATACTTAAAGAACTTCTTGAGGGTTTGAAATCCTCTCCCGATCCATTGTGTGTGGTTAATCCCGCCGCTTCGGAGTCAGGGGCCAATTTCGGCAAGGAAGCGGCTAAAGGTACTCATACCTCTTCCCCTCATGGTAAGAATGGGATGGGAACCTATGCCTCGGTTCCCCCTCCCCTGGTCTATGGAGGACTGGTCCCTACACCGCATATTAACAACCTTGGTCCTCCTCCTAAGATTGTGAAGGGTGATTTCACTAATTGGGTTTTTCGTATCAAGTCTCATTTGAATCACAGCTCAACAAATCTTTGGAGAATCACCGAGCAAAGGCTTCTACCCGCATGATCCAAACAACCTCACTCCAAGAGAAGAGGCGGACAATCAATACAATCACTATGCACTGTTCATCTTTTAGTCTACAATGCCTCTCGAAGATCTATCTCACTTTCGTCACTTCTCCCGTGCAAAGGATTGTTGGGAACATATCATATATTTGTACAAGGGGAGCTCAAGCATTCAACGGTCCAACTTTGAGGTGGTACTTGATGAGGCCGATGAGTTTGTGATGAATGAAGATGAGGATCCTCGTGATCTCTATCGAAGATTGACAACTCTTGTGGTCGCTCTTCAAGATCATGGGAGCAAGGATACAGATGATAGTTGGATCAAGCACAAGTTTCTCAAGGCCGTCATGCCATTCAACAAGGCCATGTCCTCCATGATCCGTCAAAGGCCGGACTTCCACACCTTATCTTCAAGTGAGGTGTTGAATGAGTTTATTGCCATGAACATCATGAATAAGACTGCCGACAACGCTCTAGCTCGTGTCCAACGGTCAAACAATGCCTCCCTCAACATTGCTCTAAAGGCCAAGCCAATTCCCAAAGAAGAAGAGAGTTACCCCGAAGACACCAAATATGCTTACCACGAGCACATGGCTCTTGCGTCAAGGCAATTTTGGGGCAACAAGAGAAACTTAAGGCCCAACTTCTCCAAGAAAAAGTCGAGTGCCTCAAAGGGCAAGCAACAGGTGAGAACTTGCTACAATTGTGGCAATTTGAGTCACTTTGTGGTGGATTTCCCCTATGACAAGAGGGAAGACAATGGTGGCAAGCTTATCCGCAAGGACAAGGCCAAGTCCTTCCCAAACAAGAACAACTTCACCAAAAAAAGTGCCTCAAAAGGGGCTGGTGGCACAAGAAGAGTACCTCTCCAATGATGATGAAGAAGATACAAGTGGTGAAGGAATGGCAACGGCCACCGTGGCCATTGCCACCTCTTCCCCAACCAAGGTATCTCTCTTCAATGCCCCCAACGAGAACCTCATTGCCAAGTGCCTCATGGCCAAAGGTACCAACAAGGTAACCTCCAACATTGAAACTTCCATCACTAATATTCCTTCCATGTTGGATTGTGTGGATAATCATGTGGAGGCAAAGGTGGAAGAGAATGAATTTGATAAGTTCTTGAGTAATCTAAGAGGTGAGACCAAGAAGCACTTTGTTGATCTCTTGGAGCAACTTGGTGAGGCCAATGATATCATTGAGTCTCATGAGAACACCACCTCTAAATTTAAAGGGCATAGTCGTGACTGTGCCGATGAAATTGTGGATTTATCCATTGCTCTTGAGGAAGAGCGAGGTCTTCGTTTGGCTCTTGAGGAGTCACACAATGTTGACCTTGCTAAATTACAAAAGGATCTTAATCGTGCTATTGTTCTTACTCGTGTGCTTAAATCTGAGAAGGTTGCCCTTGGGGTTGGCCATGATAGACTCAAGGAAGAGTTTGACATACTCGACAAGGCTCACAAGGTCTTAAAGGGTGTTCATGTCTCTCTAAAGGAGTCTCATGATCAACTTCAAAGTGAAACTAACCAAGGATATTACCACATGTCCTCTTTTGTTTTAATTGATATCACCCATGCTACTAATCCTTGTTGTGAGCATGTGCATCTTGTGGAGGAGAATGCCAGGTTGAAAGAGCAACTTGAGGAGGGCCTTGTGACTTGCATACAAGGTGAGAAGAATCTCAATGACCTTTTGAGCAATCAAAAGGAAGTTGTGGCTAAGGAAGGAGTTGGGTTTACATCCAAGTCAAAGAAGAAGAAGAACAAGATCAAGCAACCTCTCCCGCTGAAGGAAGCCTTTGTCAAGGCAGGGGGAGGGTGCTCATGAGAAGAAGAAGGACAAGGAAGTGGGCGGTAATGCCAAGAAGGGCAAGACCACTCCTCCCAACAAAGCCGGTGATTTTAACCCTTCATATGTTTTATGTCGTGCTAGTGGTGGGCATGTTTATGCCAAATTTGCTGGTTCTTCTTATGAGTACATTAAGTGGTCTATTTGGGTTCCTAAGACACTTGTTGCTAACATCAAAGGACCCATTAAAAATGGGTACCTAAATCCAAGCATTAATCTTAGGAGTTTGCTTCTGGTGGGGTGTCATGGTTGCTCGATAGTGGTGCAACAAATCATATGTCCGGAAGCAAGGACTTGGTGGTGGACGTGCAAGCAATTCCATCTATGCCCACCCATGTCCAATTCGGTGATGCCTCAACTTCTAAGGTATTGGGTCTTGGCAAGGTGGTCATCTCTCAAGATTTATCTATTGTGAAGGTCATGCTTGTCGAGTCCCTTGCATACTATTTACCTTTCGTTCGTCAACTTGCACTCATGGGATTTGCAACATTCTTTGATCTTGATACTATGGCCCTTTTGTGGAGCAAGACTCTTAAAGTAGCCTTTGTTGGGCATGTCGAGAACGGTCTCTATGTGGTTAACTTTTCAAAGAGACCCACTAAGACTGTGATGTGCCTAATGGCTAAAGTTTATGTGGGATAGCTTTGGCATCGCCGACTATCCCATGTCAATATGAGATCTTTGCAAAGCCTTCTCAAAGGGGGTCACGTTCGTGGACCAACAAATGTGAGTTTTGCCAAAGATCATGCTTGCAGTGCTTTTATTGAGGGAAAGCTACATGAGACGGCTCACCGACCCACGACTATCATCTACTCGAAGAGGCCCTTGGAGCCCATTCACATGGATCTCTTTGGTCCTCCATCCTTTGATAGTCTTGGGGGAAGAAAATATTGCTTGGTTATTGTGGATGATTACTCAAGATACACATGGGTATACTTCTTCAAGAGGAAGAGTGAGACCCAACAAACCGTCATCGACTTTGCAAATGAAGCTCAATGATAACATGATGCAAAGATATTGATGATTAGAAGTGACAATGGCACCGAGTTCAAGAACTACACCTTGGATGAGTTTCTTAGTGATGAGGGTATTGAAGGAAATATGCCCTAGAGGCAATAATAAAGTTATTATTTATTTCCTTATATCATGATAAATGTTTATTATTCATGTTAGAATTGTATTAACCGGAAACATAATACATGTGTGAATACATAGACAAACAGAGTGTCACTAGTATGCCTCTATTTGACTAGCTCGTTGATCAAAGATGGTTATGTTTCCTAAACATAGACATGAGTTGTTATTTGATTAACGGGATCACATCATTAGGAGAATGATGTGATTGACTTGACCCATTCTGTTAGCATAGCAC